CAAACAAAAGAATCCTGATTAGACGTGCGGACGGCATAGTGTTAATACTGGTCCATGGCTATCTAGACATCATAAAATATTTGAAAAATATTTTAAAAATATAGATATTTTGTGATATATAATTGTTCAAGAAATGTTCAAGTATAAGAAAGATTTTGATTAATATTAAGTTGGAGAAAATGAAATCCATTATTTTTCGGTAGATGGCTGTAGTGATCGATATCTTGTAAAGTATCGATCAAACAATTTCAGATTTATACTCGTTGGAAAGGTGACATTTCGCGATAAAAAAATTCTATTGTTGTTTTTTGTTTGGTCCATTTTGTTGTAAGTTACTGGGTGTTAGAAACGGACATCAACAAAGAGAAAATTCGGTACATTTTACAGTTTTTCTTTGATAAAAGCGAAAATGCAAGCAAGGTGGCTGTAATTGTAAATGATATTTATGGTGCCGATACTGTAACAGCCAATTACGTGCAATTTTGGTTTTGTCGATTCCGTTCAGGTATTTTTGATGTTAAAATGCACCTTGCATAGGTAGGCCCGTCGTCAATAATGTCGATAAAATCACAGAAATAATCAAAGTTGACCAGCATGTTAGCAGTCGTAGAATCGCCCAGGAGCTAAAGGTCGACCATAAAACAGTTTTAAACCATTTGCACAAAGCTGGATTTAAAAATAAGCTCGATATTTCGGTGCCACATCAATTAACACAAAAAAACATAATGGATCGAATTTCCATCTGCGAAGCCTTGGCCAAACGGAATGAAATCGACCTATTTCTTAAACGGATGGTGACTGGGAATGAGAAATGGATCACATACGACAACATTGTGCGAAAAAGATCGTGGTCAAAGCGCGGTAAAGCAGCTCCAACGGTGGCCAAACCAGGACTAACAGCCAGGAATGTTTTGCTGTGCATTTGGTGGGACTAGAAAGGAATCATTTATTATGAATTGATTCCATATGGCCAAACACTAAATTCGGATCTCTACTCTCAACAACTGGACCGTTTGAAGCTAAGGATTGACCAGAAACGGCCAGAATTGGCCAACAGGAGAGGTGTTGTGTTCCATCATAACAACGTCAGGCCACACATGTCTATAGTGACTCATCAGAAACTTCGGGAGCTTGGTTGGGAAGTTTTGATGCATCCACCATATAGTCCGGCACCAAGCGATTACCATGTTTTTTTTGCATTGCAAAACTTCCTTAGTGATAAGAAATTGGCATCAAGAGAAGATTGTGAAAATCGATTACTAATATTTTATGCCATAGGATAATAAGGACCAAGACTTCTATGAGAGAGGCATTATGAAGCTACCTTTAAAATGGCAACAAATTATAAAACAAAACAGTGCATATTTGACCCAAATCGGACAATCCGGAACATGTTAAATAAAGTCTTTAAGTTCATGTAAAAATAATGGGTTTCTTTTCCCCAACCTAATATTAACAATTTTTATGAAGAATATTGTTTTTAAAATTTATTTTAAATATTTTTTGCTGTCTAGATAGCAATGGGCCAGTTTCAAAATGACATTCGTTTTTCAGTACCAGTGCTCAATACCGTGCTAGTATCCTCTACTGGCAGAATGTATATTAATATATATTAATGTTCTACATTAGAATATATATGTATATGCATTAATTTAATATACATTTATATACATTAGTATTTATTATGACGTTGCGGCGCTCCTCCGCACGTTATAAACCGCATAATTCTAGCCGCGGACGGGGACACCGGAAAGCGTCGTCTACTCTTTCTAAGGGGAAGGCCGACTTATCATAATTCGATTTAATTTTAAGACATTCTTTTGTATTTGGCGCCTCACTGGGCCTACAAAAGGCGAAAGTCATATGAACGCATCGAGGACTGTCACTGAAGGAAAGCGGGCCATGATCCGGCCATGCCACGACGCCCAGTAGGAAGCAGCGAATCCGGCGCGCGCTCGTGAGATGTGAAGCAACGCGTGCGATAATTGGCTACTTGGGAGCGTCGCGGAGCGCGTCGTCTGCTGTCGCTGAAAAAAAGCGACGTGTTTGCAAGCCGGTGTTTGAGAGGTAAAAAACGAAAACTAGCAAGGAAGCCTCATCGAACGAAAGAGGATATTCTAAGGGATATCGCTGAGCACTCAGTAGGCAAACGGGTCTCAGAAAAGGATGCCCCTAAAAAGACGGGCGAGTAGCATAAGATAGCGTGCGTTACGCGCCCGATTGTATTTCGCGAACTCCTCGACGCGCAAAGTCTTGTCCCACGATAATTAGTCCGCGTCCCCACACGTGTAATGTAAAAAGGGGAATCGCGGTTGATGAAGGATCAAACGACAATCCTTCGGTGCCTTTTGCGCCTCGACCGTCGTCATGACTACCACGACTGACTCTTACGGATGTCCCATGCCACCTCTTCCGAAACTGCTGAACAGGATGTCGCTAAAGATGACTTTGGGAAAAAACTGAGCTACTTGGTAAGGTTGCCCTTTTCCAAATTGAAGCCACGAACTGGCGTTAAATCCGAATCGTATTTTTCTCTGTCTATTGTCTCGACACTTTGGTAATTTGGAAATTTTTTTGCGTCGGGTGCGTCAAGCAATCGGAATCGGACGGATGACGGAATTTCGTGGCTCTGCGTAGGCTTAGGGAAGGTCGCAAAGTCACGTAAAAAACGGCCTATTAGAGATCACACGGCAAGACGAATTAGCCATTTGTGCTGTAACTGCCGTATCGTTATTGTCGCGCCGTATTACGTCAGATGTAAGAATCCCGTGGCTGAGTCTTAGATTTGCCTGTTTCCGAATTTGATCTCATCGTGTACGTGTAATGATTATTTCACGTCCGTTTTGTGCTTCATTCGCGATCTGTTGCGTTTCTTTCGCGCCTATTTAACGTCTTTCTCGCCTCCATGCAATGTTTCTTTCTCGTTAGTACCACGTTGTGTGATGTTTGGGACAAGAATATTATGGCGGAGCGGTAGATAGCATGTTTCCGACGGTAGAATTTAGTAGCATCGCATACGTATTGCGTCGTTTAACGTCTATTTCGTGTTTACCTAACGCTCCTGTCGCAGGTAATTGGTGTTCTCCTTCGTATCTCTTTTACGACATTTTGGCTTTCCTCTCGCATATATCTAGCACACTGGTCGCAGATAGATTGGGTTAAGAGTTTTAGGTTCGCATTTGCGACAGAAAGAGTTGCAAACGATGAAATATTCTTGTGTTCGACTCGATTTGTTCATTCGCTGGCCGAGATTTTTGGTATATCACGTCAAATCGCGTACTTCGCGTTCTCGTTTTCTGTTGCGTTTCGTATTCGCGTTCTTTCGATTTAATGTTCTTACGTATGTTATTATCGTTCTTGGTTGCGTGTGTTATTTTTATAATAAATTTACAGTTGGCAAAGACTTGAGTTGGACGGTTAGTGTTTCGATACTCGAGTTCGACAATTCGCAAGTCGTTCAACCTTGTCAGTGTTGCGCGAGTATAACATATTTTGTTATTAAACCCGTTACTATAACGTACGTAAGATCTTGTGTTAACGTAAGAGCGACCGTCTCTCCTTAGGATTTGATGTCACGCTTTTTGCGTAATTCGCATTTCTGGTTTTGTTTTTTCGACATTAGCGATTGCGAATTTATTTATGTTATCAGTGTAAGAACGACTCGGATGACGTTCGCCAGAAGCTATTACGTGGAGTCGTTTATTAAATTTCCCTGGTTTTCTTCCTTTATTGTTAAAGTAATTTTCGTGTTAAATTATTTTCGTTTTTTCTTGTAAACGTATCGCTTATTCTTATTCTTATGCTTATTTTTGCCTTAACTGTTATCGTGTCTGCTTACGTGTTAACGTATTGCTTATTCTTATGCTTATTCTTGTTTTAACTGTTATCGTGTCTGCCTTCCCTGCTCAAATATGTGCAATATATCGCCCGAGGAACTTTTTACCCCGCCTCTTTTTGCTCTCTCGTTTGGAAAGTTATGCTAGTTGTGCTCATTGCAAAGAAATACAAAGAAAAATTCTCGCGATTATTTGGATTTTCGGTGACGCTTACAGCGTCTTGCGCTCAACATTAATTTTTCCATTATGTTTGTTTTTCGCGTATCTCGTGGATATTTGACCTGGTTTTGCAATGATTTGTCGTGTTCCTTTAACTGGTACCCATTTTTGCCGTACGACGCGCCATTCCCGGCCGCTCGTTCCCCTGGCCTTTGGGTTGTCCGGCCGCGAGCGAGCGTTAGGTCAGCGCGCGATCCTCGCTCGCGCGCGTAATCCCTTCGCCGGCGTTCTCGTGGAAACGGACACAACCATGTTGAGCGTCTTCGGGGGTATTTCGTCCCACGTTGTCGGTCGCTCCGAATTTGCGTACAACGTGTGGGAGGGACCCGGTCCACTTGCATCGTCTATGTCGCAATATATGTATAATGTATATTAATAATATACATATAATAATGGCTATATTTGTTACACTGAAACGAAAATGTTGGCATGTGATAGCAAAATAACTAATATTTTAATGAAAAAATAAAATTAAAAGAAGAGTATAAGTTGGTCAATAAGTAGATTGTGGAAGGGCTCCTGAGTTACCGCGTATTTCATTAGTACTATAGTCATTACTGATTTCATACAATTAAAATTTTTTACGCAATTAAAATGCACAGGTTAATGTAGCCGATGAAGGTTGACTTTATTCAAAAAGCGAAAGAAGTTTTATACTTTTATAGTTCGTTAACTCTTTGGTTTTTCGCGTAAACTCAACTATCTTTACCTACATTAACATGTGTATTGTACGAAGGTTGATCCAGAAATAAGGTTCCCATCAATTTTACAAATAAACAACATTGTTTATTTTCATAGAAATTTACATCGTTGGAAAGATGAAACTTCGCTCTATTTTTCTACATAATCGCCATTTTTTTCTACGCATTTTTGTAGACGGTGCTCCAATTTCTGTATCGCAATGTCGTAGAACTCCGTCGCCAACCCATTGAGGAAGCGTTTCACCTATTCTTTGACTTCATTGTCGCTCCGGAAGCGTTGGCCACACAAGTGTTCCTTTAACTTGGGGAACAAGTGATAATCACTAGGCGCGAGGTCCGGACTGTAAGGTGGGTGGGGCATGACAGTCCACCCTAAGTATGTTAAAAGTTTCTGGGTTTGACGGGAGACGTGAGATCGTGCGTTGTCGTGAAGCAGCGTTACACCGGCTGTCAGTCGTTCCCGCTGGCGGTTCTGGATAGCTCGCCTGAGTTTTCTCAATGTTGCACAATAACTGTTTGAGTTGATTATTGTCCCACGTTCCATGAAATCGATCAGCAGTATCCCCTTTCGATCCCAAAAACACTGGCCATGACTTTACCAAAAGGAGTTTGTTTGAACTCCTTTGCGACTGGTGACCCTGGGTGACGCCACTGTTTGGATTGTTGTTTCGTTTCGGGAGTGAAATGAAATACCCACGTTTCGTCTCCAGTAACAATGGAGTCCAACAATACTTCCTTATCTTCTTGACACTTTTAAAGAAACTGGCGAGCACAGTCAAGGCGTTTCTCCTTGTGTTCTGATGTCAATAGCCGCGGTACCCATTGCGCACAACACTTGTCATACCACAATTTTTCAGTCAAAGCTTTTTCCACTGTACCGTAAGAACTCCCAGGAATCCGAGCAACAAGTTCACGGACAGTGATCCTCCTGTTTTGAAGCACTTCGCGTTGAACCATCTCGATAAGCGCGTCCGAAACTGATGATCTTCCACTCCGTTCTTCATTGTGGACTTCCTTCCGACCGGCACTAAACTCCCTGCACCACTTTCGGACGTGTTGAACGGACATACACTTGTCGCCGTAAACCTCTGTCAACTGACGATAAATATCCACGGGTGGAGTCCCTTTGGCATGCAAAAGGCAAATTACGGAACGAATCTTGCACTTGGCGGGATCAACGATAGAAACCTCCATCTCGGACGGCTGCTGAGCCAAGAATGAGCGGCGCAGCGAAGCACGGCCGGGGGAATCGAGAGTGGAGGAACAGCCGCGCGCAGCGGTGTTGCCGGATTTCGCCTCGCACCCTCCTGTGCGGCTGCAGCTCTTTGGGAACCTTATTTTTGGATCAACTCTCGTAGTTATTCAAATGATTTTTAAGTGTGTGAAATCAATAACAATTCTAATATTAATAACATATGCGTTAAAACAGAAGCTCCTCCACAATAATCCTCTTAACTTCTTGTGGACAAAGTGTAAAGTGTAAATAATAAAACATTTGAAGATAGATACTTTACCACTCTCTCATACACTCTTTTAAAACAATTTTTTTGTTATTTACACTGATGTTTTGTCAGTTTTTCCCGATTTTCCATACGTGCAAAATATCTTAGGAATAAAGAAAATAAAAATAATTAAAAAAATTTTGTTTTTTGCAGAAATACTATAAATAAACAAATGTATAAACTTAGATTAATTTGCTCACGCTGATTTCCGTCCAAGTGCGTAGTCGGGAAGCCTACGAGATCGCCGCGTCAGCGTCTGGTACGTTCGGAGATCCAACGTAGCGTAAGCATGTGTCATAGAATTTTTCATCCAGGATGAACGTATAATCTATACTTTCTTAGGCTTGAATCCACTTTTTGGTGAATATCTGCCGAAAGGTTACTTTCACCTGGATTTGCGGCGCAAACGACACGATATGTGCCTTAATTTTATTTTGACATTTGGAGAAATAACAATAGACCACAACGACTCTAAACTTTAAATGTTAAGAAAGCGCAAATCGTACAATTCTCAGGGGGTGGTTTACCATTTTTCATGTCGTTACACTCGACCATAGAAATACGAAGTTTGTCCAACCAAATTATGTCGTTCGAATGTCGCATGCTATCATACTTTCGAGGCGCGCGCTCACCGCAGTGTGTAGTTGGACATAAAAACAAATATGACACATCTCAGATTCCGATATTTATTATATTTTTACGCAATGTCGACGTATCGATGACGCGGACGACATTGACGGATTGATATCTGTCCGGCGGTAAAAGATCGTAGAAATTCAGATGATAGTGAAAACGCGGAATGCGCAAACGGTACAGATTATCGATGAGTTTTCTTAGACGACAAGGAATGCAATGTCCCAGTAGTTGCAAGTTTGTCCGAAGGAGAGAATACCTGTCGCACAAAAACATGTCGACGTAAAGTAGATTACAGATGAGCAACATTCGTTGGTACACGCTTTTCTACGAAAATATTTGCGCCAGCAGAAATGCCAAATGCGCCAGGTTGCGCGTATCGTTCGCGACGAAATTCACTATATACTATGCAACGCCAACGTCATAACGTCATCCACGATGTCGCAGTCTCGCTTCTTCGCCGGAGATGGTGTAAACGGCGTCGCATTGCCAACGGACAGCGGTGTCGCGGGCTCGGACAACAAAACATCGTCGTTGTACTTAATCAGCGCACCGGCGTACACGCGCATCCAGTACAATCTTCCGTCGTTTACGAGCTTGGCGTACGGACACAACTGCAGTAACGCGACGTTACGCGTTACAACGATCGCGTAAAGAGCTATCACCGTTTTCATTGATGTGGCTCCACGCGATCAGGCACAAATTGTATCCACACAGGAACATTGGGCGTCGAAGTAGCAAGATATCGTTGTCATTTCGTGGTGCACACGTACGAAATAATGCACCGCTCAATCGACGCATTTCCTAAAAACATACAATCCAGACAGTAGCGCCAGACTAGCGCATTCTACACGCTCAAGGCGATGAAATGTTTTGTCCATTTCTTCCGCGTAAAGATGCGAATTGGTGCATCCCTCTGCCAGTAACCATCGTAAGACGCAACCGATGTTACCGATATGGCGCGAGTGCACATCCTCGCGCATTTGTTCCAACTGTAGGTTTGATCAAAGCTTTCGCGTAATTACGAAATCGTAATCCCCGCAAGCTCTGACTTCTACCGGGGAGAAGTGCTCCGCGGCGTACGTCGCGGGTGGCGATATCGATGTCGTTCACTGTTGCCGTTGTTCTCGTCGAACACTTGGCGCGTCGATAAGCTCTTCCGTGGAGCAATGCGAGCATTCGCAAAGCGTCAGAAGACCGGAGCGAGCCATTCATACAATAAAATCTGGCATTCACGGAGTATTTTTACGCGCAAAATTCGCCCATGATTCGAGAACAGAAGATTCGTGAAATCCGACAACACAATGTGCGGAATAATTTGGGAACACGTTTGAATTTTGCAGCTCTCTTACAGTGCCGGCATTCTTTAGATGTATATGTTCATATGATGGGCGTAATTTGTCCAGAGCACTTCCAGCGATAAGAGAGACGCCAAAGAACTATATTGCGGAGGGATAAGTCAGATTATTGCAAGGAACTGTTTGACTCCGAGTGTAGATGTAGAAGTGTTGCAACGGCCGTTTATGAAACGTCCACAGGTGTCGTTGACCACCCCGCGTTTGGGCGAGTGACAATACAGTCACACTGTTACTTTTATTCACAAAATTTTTGCGCCTTCCTCGCACATGTCGGAGATATCGCAACAGTTAGCGATTGTCGCGATTGAGTTTTATCTCAAACTCGTAATACCGCTGCTCGTCCGTACTGTAATCGTCAATATTATCGTCCCACAAAGTAGATGCCGTATTTTCACCGTTGCTGTCAACAACCAAAGAACCACCATTGATCGTATCGCTGCGCTATTCACTCATCTCTCCGCGTGTGTGGTTCGATATGATACTATTCGTTGAGCGGGTGCTCCTTCGATATTTATACCTATTCCGTTTTGCGAGACGACACATTCTTTCTGCGATATGTGAATTCGGACTGCGGGGCGGGGAGCGGAGGTAATTTCGACAGACGAAGAAAGGATTGAATCTTCATCGACGAGAATATCGAAACCGCTTCGCGAGGTGATAAACGGTCCTTGTTATCGCTCGCCGACTCTCAGAGAGGAGATGTTGGTTCTCAGCATCTCCCACGTGCCAACCCCACTTCCTCGTGGCATAAGTTCGAAACGCTGGAGGAGGGCGAATCAATCACCCCTCCTGGCGGCTGACGGGGATCTGGTTTGGACATACGCTACCTTCCCCTGAGTGGTGGGGGGATGTCTCAGTGGGTCCTTCGTGGGACAAACTGCCGGCGGCTTATTGCAGAAGGCACACCAGCGAATCGAGCGGTATAATATCCGCTAAGACAGCAAGCTAGTGTGCTGGAGCCTTGGGGTTACTGGCGGATTCTCCAAACTTTTTCCCCTTCCCTTTCATCCCTTCTTTAATTAACATAACATTACCGCGAACAGAAAATATATTCTCACCCAGTATTCTGCAACCTTTACACCTTCCATCCTTGCTGTAAATCTCACAGCATAACCGCGAACAGATAATCTGTTCCCACGCGAATAAAAACCAAATCTCCCGTTTCCTTCCATCACCATAAGCATTACCGCGTACAGGAAATGTGTTCTCACGCGGTGTTAATGAAATTACCCCTTCCTCCCTTCCAGAGATGCCCACTGTATTACCGCGAACACATAAGTAGGTCTTAAGCGGTACAACGTCAATGATGCCTCTTCCTCCCCATCGAGAAATTCACCCGCTATCGCGGACAGTTGAAATATCCTTATACGGTAAAGCCTTAGTATTCCCCTTCCTGTCGCGGCCTGTCTCACAACCGCCCTATTCTTCGCAACCCTGGCGCTGCGGGGAAGCCGGGCAGAGGCTGCGTTATACAGACCTACCGGGCCCTGCGCTACTGTGGTCCTGCCCCAGCGACGATGGAACCGGAGATATTAATATATTCTTCTTTTTCAGGTTCCTTAGTTCGTTGCCGTAGCGGAACGGGTGAAGCGCCGAAGGAGGGCCAGCGTTCAAGCGGTGTAAAACCCGCATTGAGAGTCACTGAGCTCTCTGGAGCTGAAGTGGCGCCACCCGACCGCATCGCACACACTCCCACTCCTCTCCACATTTCCACTCTGCAAACCACTCGCACATCCTACCCAAACACTACCGCGAACACGTAATTGGATCAAATATGTTAAAAGACTTACTCACCCAAAAACTCCAACCACCCAAACTTCATCCCCAGGACAGCTAACTTCCGCCCTTCTTCTGCGCACTGCGGTGCGTGGAAGGCGCGCGGGAACTGCCCTTAAATTAAAACTAACGGGCCGTGCGTCTTTGTGGCTTTGTTCGCAGCGACGACGGAACCGGAGTTTTCCCTTTTATTTTCAGCGCGGGCCGGCATGCCTTTACAGTCCTAATACCAAGGTGGAAGTATCGTGTCAAGGGTATGAATGGCTGCGAGGACGGATGCGCAGTCGCTAAAGATACAACCCCAGGATACTTACCGACATCCAGCGTTCTCTAGACTTGGCAACGTACAGCGGCTCTGCGTTGCTCGACCTCCATTCCGACACACGAATTCAATGGGTAAATTTTTCAATGATGCGTTGTGGAGGAGTGTCCGTCTGGCTGAACGCTTCCAACCAGACAGGGCCGCAACTTTGGAAGCGGTGGGATCCTGTGATTTTCGGTCGCTCGTTTGCGCGCTTGGTTGAGGCCCCCGCTTCCAGGAGAGCGCCTCGACCAACCGTGCTCGCGCACATCTGCGGCTCAGAGCAATTCGGTGGACGGTCCCAGGTTTTCAGCCTTCGTCCTGTCAGTATTAGCTTAGAGCGATGTGATAGGCTGCTCACACCGGCAATCCTAGACCGGTCATGAAGAAAATCAGGATCGGCTCTGACAATTGCTCCGCAAAAAGCATAGATG